CAATACTTTCTCAAAAACGGCTCCAAATGTTTTCATTAAAATGTTTGTTCAAGTAGGTTGATTGATTGATCCTTTCGTCTTTCCTGGCGCATCGATTCCCGTACTTATTAGTCTCGTAGGGGTAGTGCACGTTTTATCGCGGGAGGTGGCGGTGTTCTTCCCCTGCTGGATGGTGAGACGTGGCGGCGACAAACATCGGCTTGTGGGTTTTTTCTAACCAGAAATCTCTCATTGGCGGGACACCGCTCCACCCGAGGCAAATTCTAAGCTCCCGACATGTGCGGAAGAGAAGTGCATGTAAATGTATGTGAATGTAAGGGGCAGCGGATACGACAAGGTAGAGCTTGCCCGATCTGTGGCCTGTTTGTTACAATATTGCTCCGGCAGTCGCCTAATATTGATAAATAATACACGGAAAACTACCGATTAGAGCAGCCGGCAGCAAAAAGTTTGCTCCTGATACCGGCTGAATTCGACCTAGCCATCTAGCTATGTCAAAAACCCGGTCACAACTCGGAACACAAGGACTTCCCGGTCACAAACATTTCTGTGATATCAGTTGACGATCTGAGCCAACTTGGCCGATGTTCAAATAGTGTAAACTTTCCTTAGTAATATAGCGTATGTTCCATTTCCCTTAAAACCTCTGGCGTATGGAACAATTCAAAAGTAAGAAGCTTTTTCGAACGTTTTTTACTGTCCCAATATTAACTCTACATTTAACATTGTATTTCTGTATATTAAGTCTCAATATAATATGTACAAGTTTAAAAAATATTTTCACTTTTGAAGCAATTTTATATTGAAATGTTGAAGTTTAGAAGACTTCACAAAACAATAAGACAGGCTTGTGAAGAGCGCTGAAAGTTCGTAATTGGCAATCTGGTGTACGATTTCCGCCAGTACCATTTTTTATTTTTGAATTTTAATTTTTCGAGTAATAAGAGATTGTCAAAGCGATCAATGACGATTTTTTTAAGGATGAGTGAACTTTCTAAAATTGCAAAATGGAATCTCCTGCGCTCCTTTTGCTGAAGAAAATAAATCAGGAGAAAAAAGACTTGTTAGAACACAAATGAAAATAGATATTACACATCCGTTTAAGATAAAATGAGAAACTGTGCTATTATTTCACTACTAGTTTATTTATTAAAACCTCAAAAGTGGTATTTCACGTTAATTTCCGTGCCGTTTATTTCGTGTCAAGAGATTTTATGTTGTAATGTATTGTACAGACAAGAAGTCATTTTTAATAACTTGTTTACTTCTTTAACTACGTGATTAGAGCAACACGAAAGTTTACGTCACTGGAAAATGTAGAAAAAAAGGAATTTTTTGGAGTCAGGTTTTGATGGAAATGAAATTGATCCCATTCTCCTCCTCCTTTTTATTTTCCCCCTCCTTTTCTGTCTCATCCTTATCCTTGTACTTCTGGTTTTCTGCATACTTGGTTCAATTGGTTTGTTTAAATTCTTCCGAACTACAAAATTTAATAAATTAATGCCTTTGGTAATTAGAATGATGGTGAAATATAATAAAAAATGAGAATATTCTTATGGATTTTTTCCTGAAAAAAGGCTCTGAACCTGCTATGTATAAACGTTTATTTCCGTCGTGGATTCTGTTTGTGCGTGAAAAATAGTATATATTTCTGTTAAAATAAAACAATTACTGATTTTTTCTGGTGGCATGCTATCATTCGTTTGCAGTGAATGCACTCGACACTTTTGTGGTACGGAATGTAACTAGTCAATCGAAGCGTGCTTGATTTTATTGCATGCTGCATTAAACAGTAAATAAAATAAAGGGTATTTCCACTACCAGTGTTTATTGACTAAATAAAACCAAATTGTATGATGAATGTATTGACGCTGTTGTCCCAAAAATTGGCAATTAATTCATATTTTAAAGAAATGTCTTTTTCCTGCACTGTGTTTAACAAAAAATGACATCTGTGAGAATTAGTACTTAGGATCACTCATCTTCCGTCACAGAAGTTTGCAGGTCTTTTAATTAGCATTACTGACCAAACTTATTCCTCAATAAACACAACTAGAGTGACGTAAGTGAACCGAATAAATATATCAGAGACGAAAAAGTGTGTTCAAATATAGAAATATGGATATATTTTAAATTTCGGTATTTCAGAGAATTGAAAAGTTTATTTTGTCACGTAAGCGGGAAATGAGTGAGGTTCAATATGTTAATCAGAGCGCATATTCCAGGCTTCAGGAAATGTCGCAATTCAGTCAGCCATTCGTAGTCGCAAGGCCGGACTCAAGATAACAGGGCTCAGATTAATGGTTGCGGTATGGTGTCCAGAACACCTTGAGCGGATGTTTTAGAAGAAAATATTATGTGGTATGCAACCGAACCGAATTTCCAACATTTTAAGGTTAGAATTGGATTAATGTTTCGATTCATCCTTCAATATATTTTATACCAATAAGACATGTGCTTGGAACCACGTATGTGCATTTTCCACTCGGTTAGGTCTTTATTGATTACGCTTTTTATTAAAAAATTTTAGTCTTCAATGGTGAACTGTCGATTAACGATGCGCGGCAACATTTTAAAGAGTATCCGTAGTCAGTGAGTAGTACATACACTTCGGCTAAAACAGATTGCGATATTGCGCCATTACTACGTTTTTCAGGCGTTTGTGCATAAAATGTTGTGGTTTTCGTTGTCATTGTATAGTGCCTGAGCTTAGAATACAATCATTCCACAGCCTCTAATTTGCTATATTCTTGGTCATTTGCATGGTTGGCACCCTTTGAGCTACCAATGGGACACTGAGTAGCAATTGTTTTTTAAGTTCCATGTTCACCATTAAGGTAACCACACAACAAAATCCGAATTCATGCTGATCCCTTGCTTGCCATTACTGGAGCGAAAACCTATGGTATTTGATGAGGAAGAATTTTAGAATTTAATTAGTCCGAAATTCAGGTATAATTGTTCGTACATAACTTAAGAAAAATGTCCTAAACTGAGTGGTGATGCGTGTGATTGAGAGAGGTACCATCGATTGATTGATTTGTGATTCCGGGCGCGTCAACTGCTATGGTCATTAGTCCCGTAAATGTAATTCATGTTTATTTCTCCCATGAGATGGTGAGATCCGGCTCCGATTTTTCCATCGGCTATCGGAGTTTTCCTCAACAAGTATCTCCCAGCAGCGGGGCACCGCCCCAGCCGGGACAAGCTCTAAGCTTCCGAGATGTGTGGTAGTGTACTGCATGTGAGTTTTAAGGTTGTGTAAATAATGGATAAGAATACGACTATGAAGACGAAGGAACGAACGCGCGCGGTGCCCCGTTTTTTAGGGTACTACTCCAGCTTTCGCGCGGTGTTGATCGGAGAGGCGTGGAAAAGGCGCCTGCCTGCACCTTGCGGTGGCGGTTGCGCGTCGTGGGAGCGGCGCGTCGCGGGCGCCGGAAGGGCGTCACGAGGCGAGGGGGCGATAGGGCGATACAGCGCGCGGGGCTAATTGGGTGCGGGCCGCGATGTGGAGATGCGGCGTCCGCCTCCGTTGCTGCTGCTGCTGGCGCTGGCGCTGGCGACGTCGCTGTGCCTGGAGGCCCACGCGCGCGCGTCGGACTCGCCCTCCTGGGCGGCATTGCGGCCGCCCGGGCCCTGTGGG